CCCCCACACACACACATGCTTCCCCACGGCCGCGGATGGTGTTGGTACGTCCGTACGGTGTCTACAGAAACTACCTGAGCCTGATTTTGAATCTGCGGACTGTTTGATGATAGAAAAGACGTTTTTATTTTCAACCCTGTTGATATTTACGAGAACGGTTGTTGCTTTTCTCCGTGCGGAAGGGTCTGGGGATGCTTGCCGGCCAGTTACCAACAGATGAGCCGAAGAACCGCCGCCCCGCCTGCTCACAGCCCGGCTTCAGTGTAAACGCCATGCTGTACCAGGTTTGTTTGTTTGTTTGTTTGTTTAAATGGTTCACTGCCGTATCTGCCGTAAGCCTGGCAGAAACTCCAGAATCGGGCCATATGTAATGCTAACGTAACTTATCTTAGGACCAAACAAGTAGAACCAAGTATTAGTATTGTGAGATATAGAAGATAGGTTTACAAAACGGCGATACATTCACTCAACGATTAGCCTATCTTTTAAACTGCTGGGTATAATCATGTGGAAACGGACCCCGTGGACAAGGTATTTTCAAGGTTAGTAGAAGTCGCTACCTATTCTTTGGCGTCAGGAAGCCGCCCCTTCAATCTATCGATCACACATAAGCCAACGAAGCGTCATGAGTCAGAGACGAGCAGAACGACTGTACGACTACAGGAACCACTTTGCTAGCATTGGAGTAGTAAAGCACAGGCTTGTCCAAGAACGTAATAACAATGATTCGTATGTTGGTAAAGGAAACACTGAATTTTAGGTTTCTATCTCTGTTGGCAAGAGGGTTTTGAAAACGCCGTTATCTCCTCTCCAAGTTGTTTGTGCTTTTGGTACCACCCTTATGGCAGGAAACGATCTGTCAATCACACAGAAGCGGCATGCTGATTGGTTCTGGCAAACAACACAATCTTTTGCCTCACACAGACGTTGAAGCCTACCAAAATTCCTCATTTTCTGAGAAAATGTTGGAAAAGGCACCTGTACTGATATGAGACCGAAAATATAAATGGTGCTCTCTGTCACAAAATTATCTCTTATTTGGTTTAAAAGTGTTTATAATTGTTTGAACTCTGTTTATACTTGTTTGATCCCGACCAGATGCCCGAAGCGCGGGAACACTTGAAACCCGATACCGTCGTTACTGATAGACAAACAGCAACAGTTCTGCCACGTCAGTTAGCAGTCAGACCTTTGCTTTGGAGGTGACTATAACAAACAGGTCCACATATATAACATTTGAGCACATCTTTTTAGGTTATCTGGTTTGAGTAGGACTATCTTTCCTCGGTGTGCCTCTAGAATAACGGGCAGTGTATATAGCAACGTCCACTGAATGCATGTCCTGATGCAGTATGGTTGTGCTTTTCCTGTCGTCTTGTGATAGTTGAGATAGAGATAGCAGAACAGTTGCTTAATACTGCTTCAAAACGAACACACATATACTTGTATTTTTCACAAGGCCAATGTATATCATAAGACAATTGGTGGAGTTAACAGTATGAGCCAAAAGTTCTACCATGAAAAACAAAAGTAAACAAATGGAGCGGAGTTCCTAGGTGACAAATTTCTTTGCCCACGTCATCTGGACGATTCATTTTATTACTCTGGGTCTCTAATGGAATGGTCTTATATTCTTAAAGAACCTAAGACAAAACGACATATCGTATCTTTCGCTGTGGGCTGCAATCTTCATTGCATTCATGTACATGCATACCTACGTACTTCCTTTTTTATTACAGCTTGAAGGTACTTTATTGCGTGACAGACTACAACGTGCTGACTAAACAAAAATGGAATTACATATAGTGCAGCATTGTCTATGTTGATATTCTTAACTTCTTTGATTTGCATAATGTCAATCCATTTCGTGGTCTCGCCTGAGAATTTTTTTTTGTCAGTGTGATGCTATTCCTTTTTTCTAGCTTCTCCTGGGTCTAAACTTCATCATTGCGAACCGTTCTTTCTTTTTACCTGGCTTAGCCAGGGCATGTCGTTCATTTATGTCATACTGCGTGTTTTTCTGAGCCTGGGCACATACCTAATCTGTGCTTGCAAACCGCAATATCTTCATACAACTCTGTTCTGGTGTCATTTCCTTACTGAAATAAATCGTTTGTTCCAAAGAACTCTGTCCCTATTCATTCATGTTATTAAGAATCATCTCCAATCAACAAGGTCAAAAAGAAACAATTCTTTCTCTGTTGGTTGACGACGCTCTCCTCGTACGACAGATGCTTGGGTTGACACAGAGCTTCTCGTTGCATAGGTGGCTAACATGCATAATGCCTGTGAGGTTAGGACGGTCATAAGTCGAGAAGGCCACTAGGTGTAAGCTAACCACTCGCTCATCTCCCTCTGTAAGCAAATACAACAATGGCTCGTATTTTCTTTGTTTCTCACCCTGTAGATAATACAGTGATTCAAAGAAACAATGACTCGTGACTTGGGAAGTTTTTCTTTAGTTGTGATAAGACGATCTGCAAACATGATATGTCTCATGGTGTCTGTTCAGAGCAGGTCGAGAATTATATAACGCATATTAAACAATAACATGGGAAATGATTTTTAAGTTAAAAATGAGAGTGAAGAAGGAATATAACGAGATAGTAGAATAGAATTAATAGAAGCTACATCAATGAACAAATGGGGTATATGCCCATCCCTGAAAAAGATTAAAAAATACTTTCTTATCTTCACCTTCTTTCATGGCATGGAGTGAAATTTAATCACCAGAAGAGATAGCATTTTTTTTTTCATTTCCTTTTTGAAAAAAAAAAAAAAATCGCCAGCCGCATGTAAATTTGCAACGTCCCGCTTGAGTACCGCTACGTAAACTGCTACAACCAGTAATTAGAAAAGTCTACTACTCCTTTTTGATGCTTGGTGTTTGTGTAGGTAATGAGTCAGGCAATAGTAAATTCTATGAGCAAATTCTACATTACCCTGTGCACTTAGATATCACGACCCAACATTGTGGGGTTTATGGTTTCGCAATTTTCATAATACTCAACGTCGCGATCATCACACAACGCAGCCAAATGCTGGTTCAACACGATGCGTCTGTCATCGAAGTCCATATTATCTAGTCTTGGCAGCAACACGCTTGACATGACTATGGATGACGTGGGGAAGCGTCCTTCTGTATGGTCTCAACCGGTCCCCGATGTCTTCCTCTATGGTCCTTAACATGGAGAGATTGTTAGTCTCTATGTGAATAAAAACCACGTCAGCTAACATCAAAGGTCGCAAGACAGTTTCAAACATCCTTAGCAAAATCCGAAATGAATGCACCGCGATTGGCATGCAAAACTAATGAAAAGCGCGGAGTATCACACAACGGAGATTGGTTGTCCATATATTTGCAAATCGAATCAAAGAAAACAACAGCAACGGATCTCTGACCTGCTGGTGTGGCGGCCGCCATATTTTCCAACTGCACAAGGTGACCTTGGAGATTGGTTAAACTGTGATGAACTTATAAATACTATAACCGTGCTCTTCTCAATATTTCAGCAGAACAGTATCTTAACCCAGAAACCTTATCTCACGCTGGATACGTGAAAAAATATTTTAAAGTGACCCTCGATATACCGTTACAGCAAACTGTGTAACGGTATAACGGTACAATACACGAATGAAGTTCACTATCTCGAGTCACGTGGCGTTCCTCGGAAGTAACCATCTCTTTCGTAGGGGTAGAATAGCTAATGTTATGATATCTACATTTTTTAACTTACAAAAGAGGTTAATCTCCTTCGAATTGCATAGTTTTGAGGGATATTCCTTCATTCCATAAATCCTGTTTTTTTTTATAACTGCAATTGCGTTTAGAAAATACAACGGTCGTCCAGCAGCAAATGGCCTGAATTGTTGTCCCCCTTTTGGAATGTCACTGGCCTTATCTATATTTTCCATTCAGTTGGTACAGTGTGGTTTGGCCAAAGGGATCTCTTGGCTTTACCATTATACGTTTGGTTTGACCAGCAAACGGTTGGACCGTTTTTTCCACACCTTTCACTTTATTTACTCTTAGGTAACACCATACAAGGTACAGCTTAAACTCACCAGTAATACAAATGAAAAACAACTTATTTGAGATATATAATGACTTCCATGTCTGTAGCTCCATCATGCCCCTAATATGCTGTTCGTTTTCTTGCACATTCCTCTTCAGTGACTTGTGCTGGAAGTAGCCCTTTGACTAGGAGAGGGAGCCTCTGCATCCTTCGCTTTTTTGTGTGAAAAGCATGCCTATCGTGTCCTGTGCATTGGTGTGCAAAATTTCTTTGTACATGATGTGTTTTAACCATAAACGTAGCACATTCTATTTAAATCATACTTAATTAGGAAGTCCAACTTCAGTTGCTCAAAAGAATTACATGTAGTATAGATTTCTGTCACTTGTATAACGGTTGCCATCTAAATTAAACTGCATCCATCATTTTTTATCGTATTTAACATTTGCTATCATCAATGGTACTGACAAATGCATGTAGAAATTATAGTTCTAAATTTAAAAACAATTTGAAATACATGCATTGTTCACCTGGAGAATTATTTCCTTGTGGAATTCTTAGGGTCCCTCTACAAGGCCTTCAAGCCTCGCCTTTCCTGTTTCCCCATTGGCCCTCGCCCGCTTGCAGTGGATCATTCACTCCACTGACAGTCCGTCGCCACAGCACATGACGGGGGACAGCTTTCTGTCTGTCTCGGGTACAAACTGGTGGATGTGCTCCATTATGTGAATAACCCCTTCTGTTGAGCTGTCGGACATTACTTCCTCTACTCGTTTCTATACAGTTTTGACCGAGGCCATTTTTCGACGATTGAAATAAGGTAACGGAAATCCTCAACAGTCCGGTTGAGGACGGTACATAGGGTGGTTGTTGGTAACCACATTCAGGAACACCACATCCGGCTCAACAAAGGGTTCATGTAACACATCACTAGTAAAATCATGAACCCTGGCTCCAGGGTGCGGATGTAGGCAAAACAAAATTACATGGCTTGCCAGATACTTACCGATCAAGTCAGTGAAGCCTAGGATTATTTTGATACACATCGATGTCTGTTGGTTCCTATTCTAGTCTAATCAAGTGGAAGTTGAACCGGTGGCGAGCTGTCGGACATCATTTTCTCCACTCGTTTCGATACAGTTTCGACCGAGGCCCTTTTTCGACGATTGAGAAAGTCGATGAAGTTGTACCCTTATCGGGTATCCTGAGTTGTGTCCTCATCGGTAGACCGCACATGTCTTTGATCACACAGAGGTGAACACACGGAAGAAAGACAAACACTGTGCGTGATAGAAGTAGTCAAAGATGATGTATTTGGAGCCCGAAACTGCGCTGAGAAATTTTAAATCGTCGGTGGGATAGCTAATCCCCCGTGTTTGCTCAACTTCCCCTGAACAGCTCGGGCCTTTCGACCAGACAGTACAGCAAGCCTTTTGTCATTCATTTGTCACCTTGCAGGAAGTTGGAAACTTTATTTTGCACGGAAAATGCTCTACCGCTGACAATGCGAAGTATTAACAATGTAATATTGTTGCTCTATGTTAAAGTCAAACTGGAGGTTTTGTGTGGCAGATTTGGCGCCTCTATCGGTCTGTCCAGAAATGCCTCAAAATAGATATTTGAGCAGATGACTGAGTTGATTATATTCATAAATTTCCCGGGTAACTTTCCCATCTAACAATTCGTATGTTTTGCCAATAGGTTCAGATTTCGAATAGAATGATGCTTCTCCTTTGCTAAAAGGTTTTTTCTTTAAATCTCAGAAGGTATTCCGTTGAGCTTTATGCCCACCTATGGCAAAATCCACATATCCTTTCCCCTAGACAATTTTGCTGTGGGCTGCAGTCTTCATTGCATTCATGTACATGCATACCTACATACATACATACCTCTTTTTAATTACAGCTTGAACATACTTAAAGATGTGTGAAACACGAAATAATAGTGTATGACATATATAGTGTATGACATACATAGTGTATGACATACAGAGCAAACATATTCTAGTCACTTATTATCATCTACATCTAGTAAATTCCATATTTTTCTATTAATATTCTTAATGTAAAATTTAATATATTTGCATAATATCAATTCTTTTCGTGGTCTCTCCTGAGAAAATTACCTTCGTCAGTGTAATGTCGTCCTTTCCTTTTTACTTGCTTCGACTGGTTCTACTCTTCACAAGTGTGATACCGTTTCTTCTTTTAATCTCCCTAGGTATGTTGTTTATCAATGTGATCACTGCATTTTTTTCTGGGCCTATTTACATACATACCTAAGCTATGTTTGTGAACAGTATGCAATATCCTTTTAGTGGAACGATAGCTATTGCTTTTCCATAAAGATATTTAAAAAAAAATTCGGAATATATGACGAGCTTTGATGATCATAGGAAACATTATTTTGGTACCCTTTTTTGTCACAATGCGTAAAAGTGCCGGCTGATGTACCGGCTGTGCCGGGTGCTGTGCCGGGTTCTGCTGTGCCGGGTGCTGCACGGTTGACGTTGAAGAGTATATGTTGAACTCAAGATTGAAAAGTTGTATTTTATTGTCATCTAGGCCCTTTCTGTCAGATTTGTGATGTCTTCGGTAATCTCTTGTAGGTGCTTGCAGTTTTCATGGTGAAACTAGGGAGAGGGGGAGGTCAGGGTAGGTCTCTTAACATGCTGTAGCTCTACCATGGGCGTCAGTTTGTCAATTGCATCTTCCTGTGCACATGAGAAAGAACAGTATCACAATATTGGACTTAACATTCTACAAAGCATGAAGTATCTGGGGGCAAAACTCTTAAACTCTGAAAAAAGTGACAAGCTTAGTACAATGTACTTGCCTGCAACATCCTCTGCACGTGGTTCCCAATGAAAGATTGGCTGTGGAATGCCTGTCTTTTTACTTGAAACTGCTGCAGGAGTGGGTCCAGTTGACTTGTAAGGGGACCTTGGCCAATCTTAACACGAGCTTGGGTTCACATCTCCTGCACGAATTAGCAAGATGTCAACAATGTTAAAAAGACTAGAACATGTTCTAATGCAGCTGATTGACAAAGGCTAGCAAATGTCATATATCACATGTCCGGAGCCCCAAACACACGCCACCTACTCTTGTGCTGCCATGACGTCGCTTCTCTGCTGTCAGTGTCTTTAGATCTTTTGGACCAGCTTGCCTTTCGGAAAGACCACACACTTTCCCGATATCTTCTTTCCAATTAATAACGGTGCGGTATAGTTCGGAACTTCTGTAAGCGTAGGAAAAAAGTGTATCAGTGCAAATCCTTTTAAATCTGACACTGTTCACTTCATATTATACACATGAAATACATGAGGTTGATAATTCGTTAGACAATGTTGTTATAGCCACTCGAAAATGAACACTGGTAACAACAAACTTGTAAGAAGGTTTAGGTTCAACTTCGGTCAAAGGTAAAGGTACACTGGTAACAACAAACTTGTAAGAAGGTTTAGGTTCAACTTCGGTCAAAGGTAAAGGTACACTGGTAACAACAAACTTGTAAGAAGGTTTAGGATCAACTTCGGTCAAAGGTAAAGGTACACTGGTAACAACAAACTTGTAAGAAGTTTTAGGTTCAGCTTCGGTAAAAGTCCGGACTACGTAAAGTAGAAGTTGTAGGTTCTGTGAAGGAGAAAAAATGTTTTAAATCTATACAGATGGTCAATTATTATAGCATAGCATGATGCAGAGCATGGAGCCATAGCCGATTTGTAAACACAGCCATCGAGTACTGTCTCAGCAATTTCTTTCACCGTTTTGTGGCAGGACAGGTCAAGTTTGAAAATGATGAGAAATTGATGCAAATGCAAATTCGTATAGCAAACAAAATGTGTGTACTTACTTCGATTTCTCCTCCTCCTCTGGCAGCCCCCCCCCCTGGAAGAATAAATTTTAGCAACAATGTCAACATGTTTAAACTTACACAGGCGGTCAATTGTAGCATAGCCTGATGCAGAGCAGGGAACCACTTTCAGGACAGTTCAAGTTTGAAAATGATGCAATGCAATGGTGTAAGAAACAAAATATGTGTGCTTACCTCCCACCCTTCCTGCACATCTTGGCCAAGTGACCTTTTTGGTTGCATATGGCACATTTCCAGCTGGATTGGTATTTAAAACATGACAAAAAATGGTGGGAAACAATGATGCAAATTGCATTCTGCAAATGTGATGAATTTTATATATATATGTAGATGAATTTTATATATATATATACACCCTGGTTACTGTAACGAGACTGACTTTTGTACCATTCAAAAGCTGAAGATGCATTCTTTATGTACTGTAACTTCTTAATTCAATACAAAGTGGGGTATGTGTGCACTTACGACTTCTTTGTGCAGTCTCTTTTGATGTGTGCCGTCGATCCGCAACACCAGCATCTAGAATGGGAAGTAGAAGGACACTATTCAGTTTGGGAAATTTGAACAATCAAATCCTTAAGGTTTGTTTTCTGCGTGGAAGCATTGAAGTTCTACTCCTCAAATGCAAATGTCCAGTCTGTCCCGCAATTATGAACAATAAGTTCAGGGTAGTCGTAACAAATGTAACACTAACAGAAAGAATCACTCATCATTAACACTTTTATGTACAACATCTTTACAAAAATTATGAAAATGTGGTGCATACCTCTTCTTTTTCTGCTCGCCGCCGTTGTTGTCCGGTTGCTGGAAAAAAATACAAAAAAATGTTAACTTACCAGTTAAGTATTTGATGTTCGACGTGGTAATGTTGTTCATAATTTATGTTAAAAATTGCGAGAAACGAAACACAAAAGTCACTTACAACAATGTCTTCAATGGTGCAGGTGGGTACTTCGGCCTAGAAATCAAGTATCATAAACTACGGTGTTAAAGACCCAAGTAATAGTCCGAGCTGATTTGAGAGTTGGAGGTGGATCCTACAAATAAACAGTTTCAGATAGAATTTTCTTGACCATGGCTTTGTAAAAAGTAACGTGTCATTCTGCATGGTTTGTTAACAGAAGAAAAGCAGTGGGGAAATATATTTGAATGTTTTGAAAACTGATCAGTATGCAACTCTGCCCCTGCCTTTGTTCTGATATAGGCTGTCTAGGATTTTTTTAGGAGTTTTTGGGGTCAAACTAATGGGAAGGTCACCGAAAGCCCTCCGATCATAACCGGAACGGCTCCGAACGTTCCCAACGGCGAAACTGGACATTCCCCAGTATAGCCAAGATGGCCTAGCTGAGATGGCCGCTCGGTTTGTTTGGATCGGATACAAAAGTGATTCTAACAGCAACGAAGGTTGCGCTGTGCATGGGGTGATTTTAATAGGGTGATCTGGACATGCGAATCCGGCCAATTGTGAGGTAAGCCTTCAGGGAAGCTCAGGACACAAAAATAACGTGTCGAAAAGGAATCATCGCGAAGCCAATATGTTGTTCATTATGTTCACGTGTCTGTAGAAGACAACAACAACAAAGAAAAACAATTGCGTTGAAAAAAGCTGGCCCTGGCTCCTGGAATGAGAATAAAAAGACCAGCGCATACCAGCTCGGGCATGGCTGGAACACCGCAGGGTGGAGGAGACTGAAACCGGCAGAGAACGACGCGGGCATGGCTGCTACTTGTACAATGGAAGGGGTGGGGGTGCCTCCAAACTGACTTCTTGTCGAACAGGTAGATTTTGGTCTTTCGCCGTACTTGACTTTTTCTTGGGACGACCCCCCCCCCTTTTCTTTAAAAAAGGAAGAGAAAATTGCTGTCCTTACCTCTACTATATTCTGATTTATCGCAGCTGGTGCCCTCTTCCCTGCAGCCGGCGTCCTTTTCCTCGCAGCTGGCGTCATCCTCCTCGCCGCTGACGTCCTCCTCCTCGCAGCTGGCGTCCTCCTCCTCGCAGCTGGCGTCCTCCTCCTTCTCGCAGCTGGCGTCCTCCTCCTCGCTGCTGGCGTCCTCCTCCTTCTCGCAGATGGCGTCCTCCTCCTCGCAGCTGGCGTCCTCCTCCTTCTCGCAGCTGGCGTCCTCCTCCTCGCTGCTGGCGTCCTCCTCCTTCTCGCAGATGGCGTCCTCCTCCTCGCTGCTGGCGTCCTCCTCCTCCTCGCAGATGGCGTCCTCCTCCTCGCAGCTGGCGTTCTCCTCTTCCTCGCAGCTGGCGTCCTCCTTCTTCTCGCAGATGGCGTCCTCCTCGCTGCTGCCGTCCTCCTCCTTCTCGCAGATGGCGTCCTCCTCCTCGCAGATGGCGTCCTCCTCCTCGCAGATGGCGTTCTCCTCTTCCTCGCAGCTGACGTTCTCCTCTTCCTCGCAGCTGGTGTTCTACTCCCCGCATCTGGCACTGCCTCAGCCGAGGGCCCGCACTAGATACCGGGAGGGAGAGACACAGGCACTGCCGCAGTCAGGGGCCCGCACTGGATCCCGGGAGGGAGACACAGGGGCACTGTCGCACCCGGGGGCCTGCACCGGATGCTGGGCTGGGGGAGACTGGCAGTGACAGCACTTGCCAGGTTGCTGGCTGTACTAGGGGGACCATGTATTATATGAGGGGGTGGTGGTGCACCACACTTGTGACAGGTTCACATGCCGGAGAAAGGTGTACTTCACAGATCTCAGTTGTAAGACCTCACGTCTTAGTCTTCTTTGCTTTCCCAGAAGACTTATTCTTTGAAATTGTCGTGCTTCATGCCTAAGTCGGTCTCGTTACCGCTGTCGGGCTCCTGGGCTAGATGACCATCCATCAGGGCCGGGATCACAGCTGATGTTATGTACAAACCCGGGGCCGTCTGCGGGCGTGTCCTGAACAGCCGAGTGCCTGGGCTTGAACTGTGTATGTACTATATACTGTACGTAGCAGGCAACCACCTAGCCCGATTGTAGCGTTTCTGCCTCGCAGCTTAGCAAATTTGAGCCTAACTTGGCCCTGCTGGTCCTCAAGCCCTGGCTTCTCTTCTAGTCTTGCTTTAGTCTATTTTATATTCTATTTTATATTTTTTGTTCTTTACAGATCACAACCCCTTTACCTTTACAACCCTGCGTTCTAAAACTATCGCGTTGCTAAGGTCTCCTTGGAAATAAAGGGGAACCAACAGAAATCCCTCAACCAAACTATGCGTTAACGGTTCTTTTATTCAAATGAGTGGTAAGTAGTGGCTTGGCAACACACAGGTATCCCGTTGCAGCTCGTAGAAGTAGAAGTCTAGTTCCACTGGACAATTTAGTCAGAGACCTCGTATTGTCTAGTATGGGAACACCTAAGGTTCAAAATCCTGTCATTATGCTGCGCAACAGAATCATTAGTGGTAAAAATGTGCAGCGCATCTTTAAAATATTAATCTGATGCAAAATCTAGAGAAAAGACCCTTGAAGACAGAGTTTTGTCATCTTTATTTTCCAGTTGCTCTTTCTCTTTACCCTAAGCCTGTTCAAAATTTCTGTACTTGCAGCACCATCTTTCTGCCGCATGATTTCCTTGTTAGTGAACATGAAATCTCACAAGCCACACTTTGAGTTCCAGCTGGAGGACAATGAATTTATTTCCATCCGTGATGTAATTGTAAACACAGGGGTTTGAAACCTGGCACCCTGACTTACTTAAATGTGCTGTTGACAGGCAAGCAAACATTATCAAAACTTCCATTTGATTATGCACTGCTTCTTCTCAAAAGGATGATTTTGGCAAGCCACAGTACTAGGTTCAAAACCAGTTGCAGTGTTTACTATATCAGAAAGTGGCTTTAATTCTTCCATGCCGGAGAAGATTGATGGAGATTATTTACAACACATAATTTTAATTGTGAGCCATCAGTTATCATCACTGATATTCATGATATATCTGATTAAGTGGACTTGAAATATTATCATCCTTAAGGAGATACTTACTTGATCTTCTTCGTGGGTGAAGCTGCTTCAGACCTGGGTGCAGACTGCTTTAGAGTCTAAAAATGATAAAACATGACTAGTTACATACTGTCAAGATACCCCAAAAATAACTCCAAACCTCTGCTTGGAGAGTATTGTCTTATTTATTCACCAACAATGAAACAACAATGAAAACTCAACCACGAACCCAGGGTATGATCACGTCAATAAAAAGCACATCTATTCCAAAGGTTGCCAAAAAGTGACATCAAAACAGGAATTCGTATGTGACATCAAAACAAGAATTCGTATGGTGCCTCATCGAGAAATAGTAAAAGGCCAAAGAGGTATTGCCAAATTTTACCACTCTTTCGGGCACAAAATAATAAAATGTAAGTTTATAATAAGCAGTGCAATGTTCGATATATTCAAATAGCTCGTAGTCATAGCTCCTGAGTTAAAAAAAATTGGACATCCGGAAAATATACACCGCGATGTGATAAAAATATGACATTAGGGCATAAAATAAAAACATTTACAAAAGTAAGTTTCTAAAAGTTACCTCATCCGAATCCATTTGTTGGAACAAAGTCCTTGCCCTATCAGCGGCAGTTCGTCTTGGACGCTTTGACATCGCCGTAAATTACCAGTATAGACACGATAACAACCCGAACAATAGTAGCGGGACGGTCAAAGCAGTCAAAATATCAGTCGAACCGCAGACCGCTATGCGCATCGGTTCTGCGCAGCTCTCTCTAAGATCTCGTTTAAATCTGGCGCTTCTTTTCCAATGTAATGTTATCCGCGAGAGTTTGCTACTGTTTACTGTTTCGCTTGTAACTCCGCTTTGCGTAAGTGTTTCCTTGTCATACGTTGAATTGCCGTGAACGGAGAACTGTAGCTTTTTATCAACCATCGAATCCTCATCTATGATCACAATTTATTTGTAGGCTAAGGTAGAATATTATATCAAAAGACTGTTTAAAGAACATGCAGAATAAAGATGGATGGCAAAATCATATTTCCAGATGGCAGTCTGAATGGGCGACCGCTTTACATTCTCTTCGAACGCCTCTTTAGAAGGAGGGAGTGACCTGAACTCCAGAGCCTTTGTCACATATTGTCTACCCATCCTTCGACACCAGACTTCCCCACGGACCTCAGACATGCTCGATGTCACCACGCTTTTGACCCCGTAGCAGGCGGCCATGAATGCTGTCGCTTCCTCAATGATGTCACCCATGTCCTCGAATAATAGCCCAATTTGTGCAGTTCTACACCATTCGGCCCAACTCTGTAGAAAGCTTTGATAACAAGGATAACAATGTGAAAAGTAGAACTGACATAGTCAGTGGCAATGTCCGTATCAAGTCTGGCATGATAGTTCTTGTCATCGACTGATGATTCCTTTACATCACTATACAAAAACTATGCATATGTACCAGCTGTTTATTGATATCGGTAAATGACGATTTTACGGAGTTAACAATTCAGTAATACATGTAACATGTATAAAGTTGAATGTGTCGGCAATCACATTAAGCTTTCACTACCGAGAAAACCTATGTTTTTATTTTTTTTTATTTTACCAGAATCACAAAATCAAGTTATGTGGGACGAATCCAGTCACTGCCTTTACAATAAATAGTCAACCCCAAACTCCCAAGTAACGTTTCTAGAATCATAAAGAAAAGTTTTTTAAACTAACTTAAAGACTCTTGTCCTTTTTTTAGTACGATGACGCCACAAGTTACTGTCTAGCATAACCGAGAACAGTACATCACAATCTTTCATCGTACCTTACATAATATAATATTTATATAATAATCTAAATATTCACCACATTGTATTCACTTTACATTTACAGCCTTCCAGCTATGGTTAACTTATCCATTTCATGCACATCAAGGCCACACCAATTTAATATGTTGTTTCTTGGATTTTTCTTTTTCAGAAAAAAATCAGGAGCGACAGGGCGAAAAAACAAACAAAACATGGGCACCCCATGATAGCCGGAAATGTTACAACACCGTGGTTACAATATGAGCCATGTAGTGAACATACCAGGCTAGTCTATAATTACAATAGATTTTGAACTTTTATTTAAACAAAATTGCATTGTTATACATAGAAAAACTTAAGAACGTTAACTAGGAAGAAAAGGACTTTCTTCAACCGTTGGGGCCAAAATATATCTTTTATTGAGCATTTTGCAGTTGATTTAGAACCCATTTTTCATGCATGGTACAATGCATGAAGTAAATAATAGCCATATCTGTGTCCTTATATATAATAACCTTGTCTAACTCCCTGAATCTATCTGTCCAGCAGTTCCGCTTGCACCAGGGGTCAATGTGCCCACGCATGTGCATCCTGTCTACCAGTATCTCAATTAGAGCTGTGTACCTAAACAAATTTTAGGTACAGGTACAGGTACACAGGTTTAGGTACAGGTCCGGACCTGAACCTGTACCTGAACAATTCGACCAATTTATATGCTCTTCTGAACTCCTTCAATAACAAAAAAAAAACATTAATAAACTTGTTAGTTAAGGTTTATTCTTTGTTTATGGCGAATGCTCAGATAAAATATAGGCAAAAATAAAGATGTTTTTGTTTTCATGAACACACTGTCCTTACACAGGGACCCATTTGAGGTCACAAATAGGCATAAAATTGGTGTGAAATTGTTTAGGTACAGTACCGGTACTGAGGGATTAGGTATTTTGGACCTGTACCTAATCAATTTTTCCGGTACAGTATCGGTACTGCGTACCGGTACACAGCTTTAATCTCAATCCATGATATCATTTCGTGGTCGTCGTTGTCTCCGCCCTTGCCGGATTCGGAGCAAATTTTCAAGGTGGCAAGCATCGTCGTGAATTGTTATGTTTGTCCATCGTAGTCGATGACAACCCCAACTTCAGTTGTCCTCGTGTGTCCAGGTGGGGCTGATGAGTCCGATACTAGCCCGGAAGCACCTGCCGCAGACGTCGCAGATTACAAACCCTGAAAATATCATTAACATTGCACTTTATTCGAAAAGTTACGTTCTTTCTAACTAAAAGGCATAAATCACGATCTTTTTTAACGTAAAGGTATTGAATAGGTATTTTCAAAGCACAGAATTTAAGTTCAAATTATAAACAGAAATGTGAAAATAGTAATTTTAAAACTTTGTTCAGACTCACGGTGGTACATCTTGGACACATCAGACAGGTAAGACTGTGATCTAAATGGTAAATATGAACTCACATAGTACCTTAGTTTTCATTTAATCCGTGTGTATCTTTATGTGTGACAGCGCCCATCCATCCGACAGTCGGGTAGCGGTCGGTAACACGATCCCGGTCACAAGGTCAAGCCATGTCACGGTTGGGTCATATAATACTACAAAAACACATCAGCGGTGGTTGTGGGCGTGTCGGTGGGCGGGGATAGATCAAAACTGGGCTTGCACCAGGAACGAAATATTTAAACATTTGATGACATTTCACTTAGCTTGCCAGCGAAGCCAAGCCAAAATATAGTTTGTAGTTATTTGTACACATGGTGCCATTCAATGTTTTTGTCACAAGACCCCCGGGTGATGATCAGTTTCTCTATGAAATTTGTTAATTAACAAAGGGCAATATTGGCACAGAACGTACTATGAATACATTGTACCTACCCGTACGATATGGGGGAAAATATATTCAGTTAAACCTTCTTGATACAATGCATTAGGTCATGTTGAGTTGATTACATTACAGTTGTGCTAAATGTGCAAGACGGCTTTCAATGGAAAGGGGGTGCACTGTCTTGACCTTTTGTTAGAGGACTCCAGTGGCAAGGCATCATATGGAACAAGACAACTGGCTCACAGGAAGGCTGCGGGGTGTCTGGTCCGCGGTACCTTAGTACAGCCTCCCATGGTACAGGGAAGTTCCGCCACCCGGGGGACGCGCCCCAACGCTGGCACCCCAGCGCGAGGAGATATGATGAAAATATGAAAATCTTACCTTCCTAGTTACTAAAACGGTTCAGAGCATATTTCTTTACCTTTTTTTTTTTACTTTTCAAGGAGCCATGGCCACGTGCCAGCATTGTTGGCAAACACCATGTGTGACAACTGATATCACGACTGCAAGGGCTGGGCAGTGGCCGGCACATGTCCTTAATCATGCGAAGAGGCATGCAGAATATAGGCATTTCTGGAGGGAACTAAAAAACGTGGGTTTTGGACCTTGCCAGGTTATCTACAGCAGAAGGTGTCAAGAGGATGTTGGCGGCGTGACATTAGAGAAGTCATGCCATGTCACGTCACGGTAGGCAAAAAGCTGCTCGCACTGGCAGGCAGACCCGCTCGCAAGCCCACCAGTTGCTGTGCGCTGAAATGTGCGGCTGAACCGGAAGGTGAAAGGTAGTAAAAAAGTTGTTTTTTTTAGGATCCCTGCAGAACCAGGACATAGAGCTGCATGGCTTATAGCCTTAAAAAGATCAAATTTTCAGAGAGGAAAGAAAAACCCGACCGCGGCATGGACACCAAAAGGCCACGAGAGAGTGCAGCGACCACTTCATCTCAGGTTTGCGGTAGATGTCTTATTGTTGTTGGCACCTCTCATCAATGGTATACATTTTCGAGATGATTTCATAGCCTAATTTTCGTTGTTATTTTGCACATCTTTGTTGCATTTCTGTGTACGACAATTGTATCACTCTATTTCTCTTATAGCTGCTGATTTATAGCCGCAGCACCATAATCATATATGGGAAAATTTGTAATATATAAGTGGAAATAACTTTTGTTCCAAATGTACAGCTGACCGTCAAAATACTTAAAGTTTAATACAATTGTCTATGTTCTATTCAGATTTTCTGTTACTCACATGTATGTTGGTACTTTTCCTTTGAGTCCTGCATAGTGTAACATTTCTTGTAAAAATAAACAAACTATGTATCCCATATGCTCTAATAACCGATAGCTCATCACTTCTTCCCTTTTAGCATCAACAAACTTCTTGTGTGACATCTGTGGGAAACATGTACCAAAGGCGTACTACAGAAGGCACCAACTCCGACACAGACCAAAATTGCTGAGTGAGAGTTGCTCCAAATCATTCCATGACAGGTTTGCACTTAAAAACCACACAGACTTCCAGCATAATCAGAAGGTACCTGTCTGCGAGAAGTGTGGCAAGATTTGTAAATCATACAGCAGTTTCATGCGACATCGTTACAGTCATCAATAAAAAAAACAGAGCTGTAAAACCTGCAAACAGCAATTTTCAAGTGGAACTGTACCGTCATCGGAGAAAGGCTCACCTCCCTCATAAACATGTAACACTTGTGGAAAATTGTTTGGGAAGAAGTGACATCTTACAGACCACCTGAAGACACACCAGGGTGCCCATAAGTGTACTATCGGTACATGCAACGCATCCTTCAAACAGAAGCAAAGCTTAAAAAGACATATGGGTACACACGAGGAACTCAAGACATGTAACCTGTGCGACAAAGCCTACAAGGGATCCAGGGAGCTCATGCGACATATTGCAACTGTACACAACATTTCTATGGAATGCCATTAATGATGACGTTGATATTATCCAATATGACGTTACCTTCCCCCGTAAGAGTCACTTACCACATAGTGTAACTAATGTAGCAGACATACAAAACATTGACAATCAGCAAGAAGTCTGTCTACGAGTAAAGATAACCTCAGTAGGAAAGAATGTGGAACTATGTGGAAGAAGTGAACTACCTACCCTAACCTGTACACCTAGGTGGTATTTTGAGCCATGTATACTTATCATACTTCTTGCCTGCGGATTCCAGGAAAGAAGACAGGGACACTCCACGTCCAAGTGTCGCAGAAACACTAACGGTATGATGACAAGATCTAGAAGTAAAGCTTTAAAAATTAGACAGGAGAAATTCTTACTACACTGTGATACCTTTGAGACCTTGTTAATATGCAAATCTGATTGGTCACATCATTGACATCATAATATTTTTCAAATCAATAAAATCCGTTTATTGCATCAGGAGATAAGCGACATTAGATAATTTTTATCACTCTCATGTTCAACTGGAAACCGTCAACAATGCAGCACTGAATTCCTATCATATTGAAGGGCACCGGTAACAGGATAGCTTTGTCTTTATAATAGAATGGCACTATCGACATCATTTAATCCCTGCACTGTTTGCAGGTAAAAATTGCTGGTTTTTATACATTCTGATACTCTCGCATCATGT